AGTAACAGCTATAAGATATATACAATATTTAATGACAAAAATACGAAGTATTCAAAGTCATTGGCTTACATATCGGTATATACTGCCACCATTCATCCAGATAAGTACCCTCCTGGACTTACATAATCACATACGGCGTACATAGGATATAATATGCGTGCAAATATATAATTATAATCCCGGAAAAGAGATAAATCAATTGTTTGTGGAATATTTGTGTTTCAGAGAATTGATGCCTAACATACGTCAGTCATCCGCAACATAGTAGGAGATATTATAGTCTCAGCTTAGTAATAGCCTACATATCTGTGCATATTCGCCAAATATATTTATTTATGATACTGGTGCAAATTGCCTGAACCCCTTCAAAATCTCAAATACCTGACTATTCCTAATCATCCATACGGCCTGTTCAGGTTAACTTGTTATCTCTGCATTTCTATATGTCTGAAGCATAGGACACTGTAATGTATAGTGTATCAATGTATGTGATTTAGGTAAAATACACACCCTGTGTTCTTTTTCTTGCTCGCTTGTTTGAACGCCAGCTCCCAGTAGTATTCATAGCCAAGCCTGATCCTCACATACATACAGACAGAGGAGAGAGGGGTGCGCCACTGTAGACAGATAGATATGTGTCTTTGCGTAGGTTTAAGTATAAGGAAAGCAGCCTTCCGTGATTCCTTTGGCACCGCTTCAAGCCTCGAGGATTTCCATGTGACTCAGCCCCGCCAACCAGGGGCCACAAAGAACTTCTGAAATGTTCCAAGAAGTCGGTACAGAAAATGCAAGGAGTTTTTAAGAAATGCAATGACTTATACTACAGGGAAGGTGTAAGAGGAAAAGAGAGTAAAGAAAGATGAAGAAAGGACAATGAAGATTGAAATACGAGTGAGATTCGTGCGGTTAACATCGGCTGGAACAAAGGTCATTGTTCAGGCAGTAGGAGAAAATAATCCCTAATTTGGGGGTTACTGTTCCACTTGTATGTTTTTATTATTGAAATATGGATCAGATGCAAAGATTTTGTATCAAAATACTTTACAAGCTCACAATTTGATCACTACAATGAATCTATGGGACAGACAAAGAAAAACGGAAGTAACCATCACAGGATCGATATTTCAGTCTATGTAAATACTTGATACAGTTTTCTATGTTTGTTACATCACGTGGTCTAGTCTCTAAACCAATAAGCTCTTATTATTATTTCCAATAAACTGCTACCGGCATTCATAAACTTGTTTCTAACAGAGAAGACAAAGGTTTCCCTCACGATAAACGAAGAAAATGACATGAAATTACTTTAAAATAATAACCTTTTATAAATTCACAATTTCCCTTAAAATAAAGGACACAAATGGAATTATCGAACGTACAGTACAATAGCGTTCGCAGAACCAGATCTCTCGCCGCCGCCCGCGTAGGAGCAACACCCACGTGTCGCGAGGACTCTGATGACGCCTAGTCGTGACGTCATGGATGCCGGTGAGTGACGTCATTCAAGATGAGTTTAGCGGTACACCTCCCGGCCGGTGTGGTCGCCTGGACGTGTGGTGGCGTACGTGTACATTCACTTCGGGTCCTCTCGCTGTTCGTCTGTCTGTCTGTGTTTCTGCACTGCCCTTATGCATTCGTTTGTTTGTTTGCCCGGCTGGCCGAGTCTCTGCCCTTTCTCTCATTGTCTAAGGGTGCTCTCTCTCTCTCTCTCTCTCTCTCTCTCTCTCTCTCTCTCTCTCTCTCTCTCTCTCTCTCTCTCTCTCTCTCTCTCTCTCTCTCTCTCTCTCTCTCTCTCTCTCTCTCTTCTCTCTCTCTCTCTGTGTGTGTATGGCTTTAACCTTCATACGATGGTGTCCCTCCCAAAAGCAGCTGAGGCGACAGGCACTTGAATTAGGTCAACTCTGTCCAGAAGGTTCGGAGCAACGGCATGAAAGAGAATAGAACACACCACAATGGAAAGTTCTTTTTCTTTTGTTGAAAATGAGTCAAATAAAGGAAGCCACCGAATTACTTGATCAACAAGGAAGAAATAAATCAGAAAAGATATTATCAGTAAGATCAATAAAAATACCAAGGAAAGAAGCGAGAGATACTGATGAATAATAAACAACAGTAATGCTCGTGTGGCGTGAGACTTTCTCATTTATTGTCCACATAAAAAATAACCCTTTTCATACACTATTATTAGTAAAGAGCATGAATCTTTGAAATTAGCAGGCACTCACACTGACCGACAGTGATCTAGTCAACTTGACCTACTTGTGCGTGAATGTGTTACAGTCGTTATGTTCTCGCCTTACTGCTGCTGTTTTAGATTTAACATTTAGATACACCTGTACTTCGTTTCTGAATATAAATCTATATCCAAACGCATGAGAAGATGGAGAAAAAAGGAAAATGATTGAGATCTGTGGTAATGAACAGGATCGGCTCGCATCTCCCGGCTCCTTAGCATCTGTTCTGGTAGATGGATTTAGCGAGTGTAAAAACAATCAGAAACTGAACGAGGGAACAGATCTCATGATTCGGGTACTATATCCATGAGCATTTTATCTTTTTTCTTTTTTTTCTTAGATTATTAGCATGTCTCTTTATGAATGTAGAAAAAATGTGTGATTTAAGCGTTCGGTTTCTGGCTTACGGGTATTTTGTTAAATAACTTGCCACTATGTAATTATTCCATCTATGCAAAGCAAGACTAACGGATAAACTTTATACTTTAAGTCTTTGTATGGTGTATGGTTTGTACTATTTGCTACCGGCATTGCATAACACGCGTTTCCTTTCACAAAGAAAGTATGTTCATATAAACCGTAACATCACCGAATATGAAACAAAATTCACTCAAAGACCATAAAAAATAAAATAACTATATCCAAGACAATAGATTACGAAGCATGTCGAAATCATAGTGCAACATCATACTACTTTTAAAAATCCCGCTGCAGCGGTGTCCGCGATGACGTCATGTTCCGCCATGATGGATTGCATTATACAAACTAGTCCCTCCAATAAATCCATATTTTCTCACACATTTCCTCTTATTTAATTTATCTACTGCTATAATAAACGATATACATTCATTTTCGTACCAAATGAGGGCAAAAAAAGCGATCTAGAAGGGATAAATCGGGCGTAGCAATACTCTCATGTGGTCTACATATTTACGGTCCTTTGAAGGGAGTCTCTGTAACAAGCAAGATGTCCGACAAATACGATCATCAAAAGTGAGTGATTTCCGGCTATTTTCTGGCCTTTCGAGGCTTTTTCGTGAGTGGAAGTGAGAGAAGAGATGTGAATCGTTATTGCTAGGGAGATAAAATGAGCCTCCTACTGGGGATTTAGACGCAAAAAGAGATTTAAAAGTGGAGACTGAGGGTTTGGGTCGTGTAATGGCGGCCGGAGATAGGGCGATCAGCTGGACTTCTTATTTATTTTAATTTAATGCCGGTTTTTAAAGGTCGAGGAACCGTGAAGGTGAATTTAGTGCGGTTATTTAGTTCGATTCTTACGAGACCTGTTTTTGGAGTGAAAAAGTACTTAATTGAGTTAAAAATTATTAAATACCCTCGAGTGACAGAAGCGTGTATTGGATATTGTATTTTAATATATTAATAAATTTCCTTCCCATTCCATTTCTTACGCGATATAGTGCTTTCGATGTACATTTCCCCATCCAAACCCACGATTTCATAAAGTGATTTCAATCTTTTTGATTTATATCCCCCAAAGTTTGGCATGAAATTACGAAAGCATTTCTGCCGCATGAAAAGGAAAAAAGAGAGTTTGGCACATCAAAATCTGTCAATTTACTCATGATTTCGTCCACGTGTCAGAAGGGAGTGGGAAATCGGCCATTGTGAATGAAGGTGGTGGGAAATTTTTATCAATGGGGGGGGGGGATAGGACGGGCCACCTGTGATGCAATAGCCAAGGAGAGGTTGGGTTTTTTCCCTCCCGAGTGGAGTTTGGAGGTGGGTTTTTGTGGGTCGTGTAGTCCTTTTTCTCGCCAAGATTCAATTTTGGTTTGTGCTCTTTCTTTTTTTTTCTTTGTTGCGGGGAAGTTTCCGAAGGTAGTTTGGGATTCCCGTTCTGGTGGATTGGTAGTATTTTTTGCGAGGTTGGTTTAGGACGAGGATCTAGGATACTGACGGCTGAGTAGTATGATTGGTTTGAATTCGAGGAATGTTGGCTAGCCAACTTTTCTTCCAGAGGATGTCTCCGGAGAATGTTCAGTGTAATGCCAATTGGGTCGGAAAGTGTTTTGATGCACAGATTTGTCTTTATTTTTTTACTTTTTGAGAGAATATTTAAAATTTTATGCAATGGCTGGTGGATTGTATTTAATTAGTGTGTTAGGTAAAAGTAGGAAAGGTGTGGAGCTAGGAGTGTATTGCATCATTTGCTGATCAGGTACAACATGTTGAGTAATGAGCATTTTAGTGGTTTGAATTGTACGATTTGCTGTGTAGTGAAAGGTAAAGTTCTGAATGGGACCTAAAGGAATTATCGCCATAGTCTTGCTTTGCATGTCGGCAAAGGCAAACAAACCATCTACACATTCAAGGAGATAGAATGGGCATTTTTTTTTTTCTTCTTCTTCTTCTCTCCCCCATAACCTACCCCCCCTTATTTTTTTCCTTCATTGATCAGTACCAAGGAAGTTTGATAATAGAATATACAGCATTGAGTTCACAACATGTTATCTTATGAAGAGGAGTTTGTGGATTTTAATGAGAGGTTATGGCTCTACTTTTACTTCAGAAAATTTGTTTAATGGTTTTGTGCTCTATGGCCAATGCATTAGTTTTTACCCCCATGGGAGAACAGAGTGGACTTAGTTATGAGTGGTGCTTTTCATGATCATTTTGCTGACGTGAATGGTGCTGCTTTACATGTCTGATTATATCCTGTACTGGCATTGCCTTTTATGTCCCTGATTTATATCCTGTAAGGACGACTACTGCATACCGTAAAGATTAACTGGTAGTTCTTTACAGTATGGCCGCACTTTCCAGAGACTAAGTCCCTACTCCACATTAAAAATAATTATTCATCTGTCTAAATTGCTGTGACAGGGTGTGCCCTTTGGGCACTGTACAAGGGGAGGTTAATGGGGAGCAGAGAAATCTTGTCTTCACTGTGGTATGCATGGCATACATTCAGAAAATGAGACGGAGTCCATTTTCAGTTCCTCAGAGGCTGTTTTCTGCATCGAGTTGTTTGGTAGTGTCAGTTATCATTACACAATCTGTTTTTGTATTTCCCTTGAATCCTCTGAAACCTTCATTAATTTTTACTTTGAAGGAGAGGCAGGCCAATATATCCTTAACCCATTAATGCCAGTATTTTTTGAAGCCGAAAAAAAGATTCCGGGCGGGTACAAAATTGGCGGGCGGAGCTGCCCCGCACTCTGTACGCCCGCTGGCTGCAGTCCACTGCTGCATTGGAGTGCGAGCCCGGATACAGCATCACACTGGCCCAGCGACATTTATTTTTTCGGATGTCTAATATGTGGGACACCCGTCATTAGTGGGTTAAGCTTGCAACTCATTGGACTGGAAAGTTGGTGCTTTTCTGCGAGGTCCTTGTAATGTGAAGCTTTGCGATTATTTTTGGTGGTCCAAAAACAGATTCCTGCTATTCAAGTCAGATCCACAAACTGGTGCAACTCGCTTAAGAAATTGATAATAAATTATGAATTACAATTCAGAAAACATGAGTAAGACCAGATGCTCTCAACTTGTTCGTTGTAGTATTTGTAAGGAGCTGGCAGGGCCGAAGGGCTGGTTTGTTGTAGGGCATTGGGTGTAAGTGTAAGTTGGAGTAGGCAAGATTGGTATTGTTGGTTAGTCTGTATGGTATGCATACACTAAGGTTAGGCAAACTTGTCATTATTCTTAGAGGACAAAATGTTGCAGTCATTGGTACAATAAATAATTTGCAGTCAAGAATAGTAATGCCACAAATAAAGGAAAAAGATAGTGGAAAGTACCTTTCATAGTCTAGGTTCACTTGGTGCTCCCAAGTTTTAGCTCTTGCTGCATACTGATATGAAGACGATCTTTGACGGAGGTGTTAGGGGGCAGAACCCTCCATCAACCCACCCTGACTGCATGCCCAGTCAGGTCAACTTGAATTGTCTTTGAGTGTCTCTATTGTAAAGAATGAACTTATTTTCAAGACCATGTATATGTATGTATATATATATTAATAAATATATATATATTATATATTTTTTTTTCAATCCCCTAGTTGTCCTTTAGTACCAGAATTGAGAATGAAGTTAATGTTTGGAGAAGCAAAAAAATGTGCCTCCTGTATCTCATCACTTGGCACATAGGTGACAGGAAATATACAGAGGAAAAAAAACTTCCTTTCTGATGTGGCATGAAGCTAGTCATGCATCATTGGGAACTGTGAACAGCTTTCCACTTTGGCCCATAGTGATTATAGCCTTATAGTTTTCTAAAATACATTGCTACGTGCACATTTGGTGTAAATTCCTGTTTCTGCCTTTTCAGTCTCACATGGAAAGATAAATTAAAACACATTATTTCAAATTTCATATTTCTAGAATCTTTCATTATATCAAGCTTTGCCATTATCTCCACACTTTTAGGGCTAGTGATAATCTGTAGCATTCACTCTTATTTTTGGAAAGGTGGAGCATGGATTAGCGTTGTATTTGTTGTTAGTGCAAGGAAGGTCTACAAGCTCAATCTGAATAGAATATACATGAAAGTTTGTTGACCTGGGCTGGATTGTACTGCAAAGGTTATGCAATCACTTGGTCTGTAGATCCTTGTACTTTGATGAACAATATGGGCTTACCTTTAGCATATTGATTTTATAGACGATGCTATTTTCTGTTTCCTCTTAGATCATACTTATTTTCTCATTTTTCTTGTTTCATTTTCATTGACTTTCCCTCTGTTACAAGAGGGTGGCAGGTTATGGTTGGTCTGTTGGTGTCTCGGCTATTATTGGAATGTGCTTCATCCCATATCATTTTTAATGTAGATATCTTGTGTAAAATGTCACAAATTTAGTATTGGCAGCTCATGTTTCTGATTGTCTTATCCATCAACCTAGGGAAAAGTTTGCAAATGTTTACAATTTTTTTTTACCTTCACCTTTAGGAATCATTGATGAAGCAGTGATTGAAAAGTATGCATTTAATGTCCTGTAGTTTTCTTTAATTATGGTTATACATGCTTCTCATAGCACTTACCATAAGTCAGTTACTTAGCTTATGTTACCTTGTACATGCCCTATTCTTAGAATTTTCTTTAGAAAAATTTATTACCAATTGATATATCATTACTGATGATTATAAAAAAACTACATAATGGAATAGTAAGTGCTTGAAGTAAGGATACTAGTTTGATTCTTAAAGGGTTTGAATGGATGGCCTTCATTGCTCTTTGATGGTATATTCAGAAATTTAGACCTAAAAATTTGGTCTTTAGCAAATCTGTTGATGGTATGCATTTTATCTTTTGGAAGTAAATACAAATGTAAGGGTGTTGTAGCCAATGGGACTTTCATGGTAGACCTTATTTTTATTCATCACTGTCATAACCAGCTTCATTTTGTATTGTAGATTATACTAGTGAGTATCTGTGGTAAGATGGAGGACCATGACTCTAGATTTTGAATATCTTTCTGTATGGTTGAGGATATACTTTTTAAATTCAAACTTGGCTCTTAACTTCAGATGCAAGTCCCAGGTTTTATCTGTAAAGGAAAGGGACTGTAGCTTGTGTACATTTATCCATTATATTGCAGAGCCAATATATTAAATGACATGCATATCCCCTTGTGTGACTGCTAGATTATTTTTTAAATGTATGACAGCTGTACATGTAACCTGTACTATTTAGATGTATTTTTAAGAATGTAAATGTAGATTTTTATATTTTATCCTCTAATGGTGAACTGTCCTTGCATGCTGGAAGATAACCAATGTTTGCAGTCACAAAATCAAAAGTATTACAACTTGTTTCTTTATGTATAGTTACTTTTATACCTTTTAATTTTGTTTTTGTATTTTTGTATTTGTAAGTGGAACGTTGATACATGACTTTTTAAGGAGACTTTTCTAAAACATTTTTTCTTCCCTACAGGGATGAAGAAATCAGGTAAAGAGGGCCCAAACATTAAAGTGTATATTAAGTAGATATCGTTTGGCTTGATTTTTTCTTGATACAATCCTAGAATATATAATTTATTTCTTGCATTTGTTTTATATGGAAATGTAGTGATATTACTAATACAATGATAATTTTCTACTGAAATAGTATATAGTAATTGTTTTTTTTCTTGCATGATTAAATCCTTACCATTAGTAACATTGATTTTCTTGCAGTGTTAGTTTTGAAAATATATTTGAAGACTTGATTTCTAATGGTTGTCGAGTAAAAGCATAAAATCACGATTTGGTGATGTTTCTTAGGTGATTGATATTCAGAGTATTAAACTGTATTCAGATTAGATGTCATGTACAAATTATTTCATTTGATAGTTTACTAATACACCAACAATAAATTATGTAATTGCCCTGACCTGCACAGCTTTAGAGCTCTGACAAAGACCTGCAATTCTGTTTGTATATCCTGGCAAGAAGAGCACATTAACTTTGTAATTTGACCATGTCACCAAAGAGGCTTACAAGCTCCTGCTTTTATGTAGATATAAATGAAGATGATTTGATGGCCTTTACCAGAGGAAAATAGCTTGGGATACAGTGATCACTTGAGGCATTGCTGGTGTATCCATTAAGTTTGTACAAAGCTGTTTGATTATTAAATTAAACAAGAAACAAAAAAAATCTGATCACAAGAAGAGATATCCTTTCCTGGGGCACTGTGGATATCTTGAAAGTATTTACCTTAGATCTTTGCCTAGAATTCATGAAGCTTGGGATTTTCTATGATTCTTGGGAAATTGTTGGCAGTGAAAGTGCATTTCAAACCTGTCTATTACAGATGCACCAGTGACCTTGTAGCCAAAGGTTATATTCCTGTTAATATTGCTGAGATATAATGATCTGCTTAAATTCATAGAAAAACAAATAGGGAATTATTTTTTTTTTTTTTTTTGCTTCATGGCCTTTGGTCTGTGATTCTTGGTAACTATTTAGCACAGATCTGGTTTAGCCACAGCTTGCACAAAACATACACCCAGTGTGAGTCTAGATACACTTCCTATTTTGAAGATCTTCCATATCATTTGTTAATTTGTGTGTGGTGGGAATGAGACTTGGGAATGACTTAACATTTTTTTTTTTTTTTCTATTTTTGTTGCATGAAGTGGAATTTTATAGACACCATAAAAGTGATAGTGCACACGCAATGCTTTAGTAATAGCAGTCTTAAGTTGATTTACTAAGAATCATAAATGCAGTAGTCAACCAGACTATATTTCAATTTAACATGGCGAAGAACTAAATTTTACTAAACCTTTTTATTTAGCAACCTGTCAGTGTTATTGCCTGATCTGAGTTATGAAGGGTATCCATGTAACAAAAGGATTATAACATTTGACATCAGGTATGATAGACCCAATAACATTGCTTCTTCCTTAACCTGTCTAATTATGCCTATATTAATGATTATAAATGTATTGAAGGATTTGTGTTCATGAAAGCTGTTCGGGCTCTTTTCATATATGCTCATATATGCTTTAGAATCTCCCCACCCCCCCCACCATTTTGTAATAATAGAAATGGTGTCTAATGGAGCAATAATTAAGAAATTAATAAAATGGGTCATTGCTAAAGATTTTCAATATTTGTATTTAATGAGAAGCTAGGATTCAGAGGATGCCTAAAGAATGTAGTGACTTCATTCTGTTAATATTTTACATACTTGAGTGTCTAAAAATAGATTGGATTCATACTTGAGCAAGGAGTAAAGACTACAAGCACTCAAGGTCACTACAGGATTACTTGCATTCTATATCTGCAATATATAATACTTTCAAATTGATAATCTCACTATTGTGGGAGTTATATTCCAATGTATTTTTTATTTATTAGGAATATCCTGTATCTAGCAATCTTTTTAATTTATTTTTGAACTCAAATCTATTATATACTTGAGTTGCTTCATAGCCAGTCTGTTGTAGGTGTGTATATAATTCCAGTTTGGTCTTTTCTCACTTTCTAACCATTGATTTAGTAATTTTCTTTTAAACATAAGAAAATTTATCTTTAAGATAAATAGTATTTTATGTACTATGCATATATATATATAATAATATTATATATATATTATATTATAATTATATATATATATATATATATTATATATATATATATATATATATATATATATATATATATATATATATATATATATATGAATCTTGTTTGATGTCTTATATAATGTGCATATTTATCTACATACTGTGTATACTCTTGATGTAATTTTTTGTCCTGGTTGATACATATTTTTTCTGCATCAATATGAAGAAAAAAAATTCTGAAACACCAAACACTTTGAAAAATATTCTTTAAGATTAAGTTTTTAATTGTTACCTTTAAGGATTTTTTTCATTATCTGACACATTGTTTTCCCCTTTCTACAGGGATGGGGACTCAAGGTAATTATTCATTTTGTTCTAAACTAACAATTTTTACTGGCTTTTATCGAGTGGCTCGAGTGTTTTTATTTTCTTGTTTTTTAACTGTAGGTTAATCCTGAAAATATGTATTTACATACATTTCATACAATATATATATGTATATGTATATATATGTATATGTATATATATGTATATGTATGTATATATGTATATCAATATATTTTACACAGCTTTATATATAACTATTCATAATTGGATATATATTGTATAAATTGCAATATCTCGTACTTAAGTTGCTTTCCTGACAAAGATTCAGAAAATCTAGAGCATGCATGATCATATAGAATTGTTTGGCATCAAGATTTTTATTTGGGCTAAAGGGCATAGTAGTGTGGAGTACAGTATAGAGTAAGGCTCTCATGCATGTAGGACTAGATGTGTTTGTTTGAAATTTTCAAACTTTAAATTAAAAAGAAGAGAGAGAAAAGGGGAATAGATATAACTTTGCTTACAAGGATTTTCTAGTACATAGTTTTTAAAATTTGACTATTCTGTACTTTGTGTGTGCTTATTTTTCTATTTTGAGATGTACTTAAATTTTACAATTTTACGATGAGTTAGTGTATTTTCCTTTATACATTATTTTATGGCCCTAGTACAGACAGTGTTAACCCCCATATCTCTTGTGCATTGTTTTCCTATTCTGTATTCATGTCAGTTTTTTTTACATATCTCAATATTTGTTATTTACTCTCTAACCAGTTTTTGATTATTATATACCATTGGAGCTATCTTGGAAGGTTAACTGGATAACTTGCATCAGAACTTTGTGGAAAGTTAAGAATTCAGATATATCTTGCAAACCCTATAAAAGAATGGGGAGGGGTAATCCATTTTTACAAAGTATTCATACCTTTAGATTGCAGTTATCTTCCTAAGATGGTTTAGAAAACTATCAGAAGATTATATTCTGTTGATGTCTGACGCTTAATTCGTTATTTCCAGGGATGAAGAGTGGGGAACTGGTGGAAGCAGTGGTGTGGAACAATGATAATAAGGATTATGATGGCCCAGCCGGTATGGATGTTGATGGAATCATCGAGTCCACATGGACAGAGGTAATTTTTCATTGTATTTTATTTTTGGCTAGCACAAGTATTTCCTTATGGGATTGATCAATTTCTTGTTAGAATTACTTCATTATCTGGTCAGCATATGAAAAGAAATACTTGTATCAAGAGACCACAAATTTAAAAACTTTTTTCCCCCCTCTAGGTTGCTACAAGCTTTGATGACATGAACCTCAATGAATCCCTACTTAGAGGTATCTATGCCTATGGTTTGAGAAACCTTCAGCCATCCAGCAACGTGCCATTATGCCTTGTATCAAGGGCCACGATGCCATTGCCCAGGCTCAGTCTGGTACTGGCAAAACTGCTACTTTCTCCATTGCAATCCTTCAGAGGATTGACTCCAAATCCCAAGAAACCCAGGCTCTCATCCTGGCCCCTACCCGAGAATTGGCCCAGCAGGTAAGCATGGAACTAAGTGTGTGTATTCTAACAAAAGGCCTGTTATTATGTCTATATAGTCTTCCATGTCTGAAATATTAGTTGCAGTGTGTTGTCATTGGTGGTCTAATATGAGTGGAATACCTACAGATTCAGAAGGTGTGCTTGCTCTTGGCGACTACATGAATGTATCTTGCCATGCCTGTATTGGTGGCACAAATCTCCGTGAGGACATGCGTCGCCTTGAGATGGGTGTACAGATCATTGTAGGTACCCCTGGCCGAGTGTATGACATGATCAATCGCCGAGTCTTAGGTAAGTCTGGTTGTATGGTCTTTCTGTGAAAGGAAGTAACTGAATTTGTTTAGAAATCCTCTTAGAATTACTTTTTGTAACTACCCAAAAATAGTTAAGTGGATATAAATCTTTCCCCTTGTAAGTAGAATAATTATAAAGTTCACAGGCTTGAAATTTTCTTACAGCATCTATTGAGAGTGATCTGGATCCTGTATTCTGGTCATAGCATGCATTGGTGCTAGAATAAAGTCTGATTAAAATTTATCTGGCACTTTGCTTTGATAAAATTATTGTAGACAACATGTAAACCATTAAACCCTAAATTGCCTAAACTGCTTTTTCCCCCTGCTTGCAAGTAACCATGAATTTTGTCTTTATCAAGGATTAATTTAGTCTAGAAGATTTAAAGAGCTTGATTTTCCCCAGCAGAAAATATTCATGCTGCCACTTCAAATTGTCTTGAGTCTTTGAACAGTGGAGTAGCAAAACAAAAAAAATGATACCCTAGGTATATAGGGGAGAAAGTAGGAAGATTTACACATTTAAGACAGTGGGTGTAGGGTAGAAGGTAGGGCATTAAAGTTAGAGGAATATTGCCAAACAGTAACAATTTAAAAAGTTAATTAACCGTGTTTCATTCACAATAACGGGCAGACAAAATATTCCCTTGCTTCTAAAAGCTTAAAGGTCCAAGTTAACATTGTACTTACTCATTAACCCAATTCTGCCAGGGATGGCATTTCAGCACATGGCATGCCCACAGTTGATTTTATTATATTTACACATGGATGGATCCATAAGTGATTAGTTAAGGAAATCGTAGTCTGACGTATTTGTTTGTTTATCCTAATTTCCTTGATTTTTTTATTTTTATTTTTATTGATATCAGTACTATTAATAACACTAATGATTAAAATGTCAATGATATTATAATTGTCTGTAATATCAGTATTGACATCATTAGCAAAAAAGTCCTGAAGAACGGGGAAAATCGGGTGAAGTACTGTAGGTGATTGAGCACTTGTGGAGCCTTCTATATATAGATCTATTTATGAAAACAATACAACAGTGAATGTTACAAATTCCTGGTGGCAATTGGCTGATTGTTACTGAAGTTCTTTTTCTGTTATTTTCTTTTTGTATCTTTCTACTAAAAGTAATTGTTAAATCATTCCAGAGCCGAAGGACATCAAGATGTTCGTTCTTGATGAGGCTGATGAGATGTTGTCACGTGGTTTCAAGGACCAGATCTACGATGTCTTCCGGTTCCTCCCCCACGATGTGCAGGTTGTGTTGCTCTCTGCTACCATGCCTGCTGATGTCATGGATGTAACCACCAAGTTCATGCGAAAGCCAATCACCATCTTGGTCAAGAAGGAGGAGCTGACCCTTGAAGGTACCTGATGCACAAGTTTGGTTCTTCTTACGGAGGTGGTTTACCAAATCCCTTGAGTTTTGAATATGAAAAATGCATTCCTTTTTCATAAGTAATCTAATAAAAGAAAATTTGAAATGTATATTACATTTGAGACGTGCTGACTATGAAACTGGTTAAGAGAATTTAAGGGTGATGGAAATTGCCAAGTGAAATTCATAAGCATGATATAGCAGAATTGTTGAAATAATGGTCTTTGGTTATTACCTCCTAATGTAGATTTAGATGAGAATGAATAACCTCACAAAAAAGGTTAAAATGTTTGAAATACCTGAATGTTGTTGATAATGATTATTGATAATGGTCATCAGCATAAAATGTCAAATACATCTCATACTGTCAGGTTATTCATTGTCATTCAAGATTGTTTGTCATAAATTGGTAGAGCTTCCCAAAGCAAAAATAACACTGGTGAGAATAAAAATCATAAATTATTGTAAAGTTGGTGATTGCAGTGAGTTTTGGATACTTTATTTATATGAAAAGTTGTTTCTCAGTATTTTTCTGTTTATGATAGTACAAATTGCAAAAAAATGATCTCTTACAATGGACAATTATCTATTTCAATGACACTCGGCTAATTGTCATATTTTTCCAGGTATCAAGCAGTTCTATGTGAATGTTGAGAAGGAAGACTGGAAGTTAGAGACCCTGTGTGATCTGTACGAAACTCTCACCATCACCCAAGCTGTTATCTTCTGTAACACCCGAAGGAAGGTGGATTGGCTTACCGACAAAATGCACCAGCGTGACTTCACAGTGTCTGCTATGGTAAGCAGGCAGGACATTGTAGTTGTTCAAGTTGTAATGTCGAGGCTTGTGCTTAGTGTCATGTCATACAAAATTAGGTATTTAGTATTGGAATTGGTGGATTTATCTGGCAAATTGGTAGATATATTTTCCTTTTATAATACAAGTAACAAATTATTCTATTTACTTTTTGCTTAACTTCAGCACGGTGACATGGACCAGAAGGAGCGTGACGTCATCATGCGCGAGTTCCGCTCTGGATCATCCCGTGTTCTGATCACAACTGACTTATTGGCCCGTGGTATCGATGTACAGCAGGTGTCCCTTGTCATTAACTATGACCTTCCTACAAACAGGGAAAACTACATTCATAGGTAAGTTCAGTGGAAGCCTCTTCTTAGGCCGAAGATTCTGGGTCTAACAGTTGATGGAATCCTTGGATGGGGGAACTAAGCAGATCAGAGAATCTGGAAATTGAAGGACAGGAAATTGCATTATATTTTGGAAAATATTTTGGAGCTGCAGCATTATGTACTTGAATAACTGTCAAATTAGATTATAGTATTCCTTGGCTTTTACCGCCACTCTCCACATGTACAATTTAAAGAAGATAATAACAAGAAAAATTAAGGCAAGAGTTCATGTATTTGCAACTGTCCATTTCTAGAAACTATCTTGTGCAAAAAAAGAAAAAAAAAAGCATTTATATCCTGTATAAATATATAAGGCTTTTATTTCATTGATATCGTTGTTGATTTGCTTACCATTTTAATGAAATAGGGATAGATCTCGATAATCGGAAAATGGCATTACAAGTTTTTCACTGATATAGACTAGTCTCATATGCCTTTGCTATCTTTAGGAAACTTAATTGTAATGATTCATCCTTTATTCGTTAAAACTTAGGTTACACAAATTGGCACGTGATCATAAAAGTTTGACCTTAAAGAAAAGGACAAGAAAAAGGGGGGGGGGGCTCAATTTTCCATTAGAAAAAAGCATGATTGTAGCCATTATACAGAAAGTTTTAATCTTTAAGATAGCTTTGAAATTATATGGGGAATTTAAATACTGCATCTACTCTGAGCATGGCTCCGAAGGTGAGCTTTTTCCACTAAATATTCAACATAGGCATCACTATCTTGTATGACATCAGTCAAGTGTCCTGCAGGTTGGGAGCAAGGCATTTTCTCTTGCTTCTCTCCAATATATTTTATTTTGTTTAGAAATGTTTTGAGTTTTTTGCCTTGCCCACATTGTTTTCACTTGTTTATTGTGCACACCTTACCATAAGTATACTTCCTAAGGATAGGACTTTTTCACACTACTTTTGAGGCTGCTGCTTCTATAGAAAGTTAATTGTAATTAAACACTAATGATATCTGGCATTGGGTAAACTTTTAAGGAAGATTCTATCAACTTTGATCTTGTACACTTTCTTATTGTAAATCTTTAAAGTTTTGCTTTAATATATCTGCAGTGTCATCTGAAATTGCATGCATTTAGAATACTAAAGGAAATTTATCTGTCAGCTATGAAAGCTTTTTTTTTTAAGGTTTTGATATAAAACCTTACATGATAATGGGTAAAATTGCCTATCTTGAAGTGTATTATAGACACCCATTTGGATTAGGCTCCTCAGATAGATGATTACTAGTCTCTTATTTGTCCTTTTTCCAACTGACAAGTATATTAATAGCCCTTAAAAATTTGTGCAAAGGTGTAAAATTGTGCTGGTAGCTGAATGTAGTTTGCAAAAATATAAATCTTTCATATGATCAGATTTGATAACAAGCATTTAGCTAGTTGACATACATTGCAAAAATCTGTGATAACTCTAGGCTTTAACATCTTTCTTTCACTGTGAAAGTGTTAATCATTGGTGAATAATGCACTACTTATGAAATTAAAGTACTTTATTGGCTTTGCTTTGTAATTGTTTTCCCAAATTTGAAAATTGGTCAATGTGGGTACAGGTAGGCTGATTGACACACTTTATTTGCATGGATTTTCTTCATAAATATGCATCTTTCAAGTTGCTATTAAAGGTCTTTTTCTATCTTTTTCTGGTACATATTTTCACTCTCAGTGCATTTTGGATGCATGTTAAAGGCTGTTACAGGGGTTCTACCTAACAAGTTTTATGTAATTGAGGGCTGAGTGGATTTTTGGAAATTTTCCATTTCAGAACTTAAACCTCTGTATTTACCTTTAGCAGTTTCTTTAATAGTAGATCCTGTTAAGCATGAGATTAAGAATGATTATAAATAAGGTTGATCTAAGTTGACTGATCTATGTACACATATAACCTCATAAGACAAAATTTACTTGTGGTACATATGAAAATATCCCAAAGTTGTCATTTTTTGATTGGTTTAAATAATGGATTGAGATCTTTCCTAATTCTAAGAACTAACTTGCAACTTTCTCTTCAGGATTGGTCGTGGTGGACGATTCGGTCGAAAGGGTGTAGCCATTAATTTTGTGACTGCTGACGACGCTAGAATTCTCCAGGACATTGAAGAACACTACCGAACCTCTATTGAAGAGATGCCCATGAATGTTGCGGATTTGATTTAAACTAGGTGAGAGACTAGCAACAATAAGGCCTCAGTTATTGTTGCTCCGACCTGCGCTGTGTTTTGACGCCATTTGTGCACGCTGCCCCCATTGAGAGCTGGCATCGTGATCTACTTGAGAGCTTGGACGCATCTGATCTGAGTCTTGTTACAGTGTCCGAGCCCTATCTGAACAGTGTCTCCTGGGATCCTCATATCAGCCTACCACTAGAGCTTGTGGTTCCAGGTGGACATATTATATTGCCTGTATATTGTGAATATTCAGGTGTTTTCCATGGTTTCCAGAAGTAGCTAGTTTTAGTTATAAGAGTCAAAGGGGCCTGAGCCCTTTTATTTTTAATTTGTGGAAAACTTTCATACATAATTGTGAATTTAGATAAACTAGAGGGTTTAGGCATCAGAACCGCTCCTAGGAAGCGGCGGCAGCCTGTCCACCCTCAGCCAACCTTCCTCTTCCCTCTTTTCTGTCTTCCTCTTCCACTTCTTCTTCTTCCTCATTCTTTGCTCTTCTTTCGATGCTATATATATCTCTCTGTTTTCATGTCATCCATGATGATACCAGCCTTTTACATATTCCTTCGTCTTGTGTTTGCCTTAAGCATGGGAATTGAACACGGATATCATTTTAATTACACCTATAGTAAGTCAGAGGTTAAAATGAGTTTTTTCAGCAATATTGTCACTGTATCCTGCATCTCTTTTATTTGTCAAAGAAAAATAGTATTAGGTATATGGCACGGATATTATATCCAGAAAAGGCGCCGGCGGAAATCTTTGTTTATGATGTATGGAACCTCTTGGTGTATTTATTAATAAAACTTGTAAACACCACATCAGGACCCTTTCATTGTTTATCACATTGGAAGGGGAAAACTTGTGAGGTAATGTAAACTTAAATTCATTTCTGTATTTGCAGGTCATGATGCTGTGATACACGGTCAATAAAGCACCAAGTCACAATATTTGTCTAATTATCTATTACCTTTTATTATTATGTTTTCAACAGGTTTGGTGCAGTAATGTGGAATATAATTGCTGTCAGTGTTAAAGGCATTTTGGCCTTGGTATAAGTGGAGAACCCTATAAGCAGAGAGCAAGGATGTAGCAGAAAACTGTGCTCTTCTTTTCAAAATTTAATGTACCCTTATTTTATTACTGAAGATCCTTTTTTAATGGCCTAGTTTTTTGTATGTTTGCATATTGTGCATTTAATGTTGTTCAGGAATCAAAAACTTAAGTATTGTAGTATGTGTGAAGAAAAATGTAGAAAACAAAATCGGACTAGTTTGGGTCTACACGACACCCTGTTATTGCATTTGTGTGAGAAGTGTATACCTGGAAAACTTGTTTCAGTTAATCAGTATTACTATAGGATTCATTTGAACTGTACATGTCCATTTAAGGAATTAGGCAGTTTTATTTTTATTTTTTCATTTGTAGTTAGTCAGCAGCACAAAATTTGTAATATTACTAGCACATATGCGGAACTGATTTTATTAATTAACCAGCACTTGAGATTCACTTTGTGAAATTGTGAATAAAGAATACTGCCATATCTGTTATTTATCTAAAAAGGGACTCCCTGCATAGACAAACCTGGCTTGTTAATTTTAAAGTGTCGATAGATAATTAAAATGAGTGTTGATCCTATTCTAGAAAAAAATTAAAATATCAAAGTAAACAATTCCATGAAAGCAAATCATAAAAGTAAAAAAGAGGCATCCATACCTGCCTTAATAAACGTTAATCTCGGTCTCAGAAGAACGCTAACCATCGAAAGATTTACATGTAATGTCAAAAGTGCAATAACGCAAAGCGCACGCACTTGCTAATGCGAGGCAGAAGTAAGGAATAGTACCTGAATAATATGGAGATCGGGATACCCCTTTACAGCACCGCAAACGAAAAACTTCCCCTCTACATTATGGAAAAGCGCCCCAATACTCGTAAAACAAACATCTGCCACAATGATGATGAAATGACACTACAGCAGATCATATTAAAGTGAAAATATTTTCACTATGTACTAGCAGTCTGAAGTTGGTGCTTAATTGTACTAAATTAGCAGCTATTCAACATAGATTATAATGTTTATATTTAGCACGAATAAAACATTACTTTGGGCTAATGGGAAGGAATGGTTAGGTAATTAGTTGTGCATAAGACTGAAATTATAACATGGGTATTAAACTGTTTACACAATCGATATGCTTAAATATCCCGATAATGTTGTCAGAAAAATTACCGTTACCTTTGCTTGTGGCCAATGAGGAGCAAAATTTGGTTAGCTCCGCCTATGGATAGTTTTGCCATATGGCGATATTTTCAGAGTAACGAGACTAATGAACCAGATATTTACTGTACACATTTCGATGACCATGCGTCAATGTATATATAAATTTAATATCCTTTATTGTCTAAGAAAAAAAGGTATTTTGCATTATTTCACTCTCATCGTGACTTAGAAGACGAATAAGAACAAAACCATGACCAATCAAATGGTTCCACTTATCAAGTATACATGGGCGAAATACAGTACTGCATGACCTCTGTTGTCTGTTGGGAGCGATGCTTGCAACGGGGATATAAATGCTTCACACGGATGGCCTCTTACGTTAATATGGATAGAGAATGGTATATTGCACCTTATGCACCAAGAAGACGTTTCATAGTTCGATGAGCTACCTTCGCTATTTATAGCAACGGAGTAAGAAATGGTGGATCGCGTCGTGGGGTTTGGAGGCTGTTTCGCTGCAGGGGAGGGAATCGGTCTATTTAGAGATTGGGAGGGAATACAAATTATTGAAATTATAAGCCCGTATTATTTTCCTTTTAATTAGCATACTAAAATAAATAAGCATACACACATGCTTAAATACATACATACTCACACGTGCCATCAGTTCAACTTCATTATACGTCCGACAGGGTAAAACAAAAATAAGCATGGAAAGTTATGTTGGAAGACATGACCGCTCATCTGTCAAAGAGCGACAACTGATAAATCAGAAGAAATTTGCCACATTTTGACTTTTTCCAGTGTAAAAACAATTTTGAGATCGGCATTGTGAAAAAAATATTTCTAAACGTTTCCCTACACAACAATATGGCAAACAAATGAATTCATCTTGTCTCATTTCTTCGTCATAATGAAATCACAGAAAATGGAGACTGCTGTAAAAATTCAATCCTTTGATACAGCCCTTTTTGCTCGTATCCAACATAGGGCATACATGTGAGTAGAAATTTATTGAAATGAACTGCAAGATACAACACAGTTCTCTTGAACTTCATCATATATCCATCTCTTCTGTAGCTCTAAAAAAACTGCGGGAAATATAAACTTTAACGAAAATGCTGTTAATTACGCTGCTCTTTACCTTTTCGTGTTATATTTGACTACGCATATGTTACCGCCTAATATTTTTGTATATTTATAAATTTCGCATACAGATAATAAAAACTATGTGTTACTAATTCCAATAACTCCAGCACACACAATGTTACTGTATCGCAAAACCTACATTTGTGGGATTACAGTACTAACTGTCTTGCCTCGCTTTTTCACAACACTTATTCGATTTTTTTATTTTGGTGTAAAGGGAAACCACATTTTCTGACTATACATGTAGACTTATTAGTAAGAGTATTTTCTTTTAATGGAAAGTGAACCATAGGTGATCTGCAGATTAGAATAACTGTTCAACGGGACTTGATGAAACGACTAAACCGACATAAACTGCTACCCACGCGGGCAGTCACCAAAATCACAATCGAGGGTCAGAATCTGATGATTATAGGATTTCTTGCGTTACTTTCTTTCTTTGGTTTGGGTGGTTGAGAGGATGAGGTATGTGGAAAAAGATGGGGTTTTGCGGGGTTGGTTGGTTGGGTGGTTGAGAGGATGATGTATGTGGAAAGTTATGGGTTAGGGGGGATATAAAGGGGTAGAGCAACTGTGTGAATTTCCCGGGACTCTAAAGAAAAGGCCCGGGCGAAGCTACACTTCGCAAATCTAAATGAACTGAGTGAACTGCATTATATCTGTGACTGGGGAAGGAATATGGATACTGTTCAAGGAAAACAGAGGTGGCTGTTGAGAAGTAGGGGAAGAATAATCCAGAGGATGGGAAGGAGGACTGGGGAAGGTGGTGAAGTATCAGGAAGAATGTCTGGAGGAGGACACTGTTGTGATAGAGGGGATTCGTGCGAGTATTCAAGTGGGAGCGGTAGAGAGGGTGGAGTCTGTTAGGAGGGTCTAGGAGGAAGGGGGTGGAGGGAACCTGAGGAGGAGGAGGAGGATATCTGCAAATAATTCAAATGTAGGAGTAGGAACAGAGGGATTGGGGGTGGATGAGGGAGCGGAGTGTTCCCTTGAGTCATCTTTAGGAAGTTTTGGAGGTCTTCAAGGGTTTCTAGAGGGGAGTTAGGTGGAGAGGACTGAGAAACAAAGGTTATCTTTTGAGGAAAAGAGATAGATATCTGAGGAACCGAAGAAGAGGAAGGTGTGGGAGAGGATGTGGTAGGAGAGTCTGCCTGGTATGATAAGTGATGAGGAGGGGTAGGTATCGGGAAGTGGTAGAGAGTGAAGTATCTGGATTTAGAATGGAAAATTAATTTGACTGGGGGATAGGGTGAGTAGACGTAGGATGGTTTATATAGGGGAGAGATACTGCGGAGATGTAGAAATATTTTGTGAAGATGGTGGGGGAGCAAACCGAAGGACTGTTTTGGAATGAGCCGAGAGAGAAACCTCGCCGTCGTGCTTCTTGTCTGGCCTCACGTAGAGTGAGGCTTAGTTTAAATCCGAGGACTGCTTCCTCGCATTCGAGCTTATAGGCAGGGCAGCTCCTATAAAACATTATGGGAGTTTCCACAATTGGCGCATGTACGTGAGTAAGCAGGACAATTGGAACGGTCATGACCAGGTTGGGCATAGAAGGCACGGGCTGTGGAGTGACAATGTTTTGCAGGTGGCCAAACGCCAACATTTTTAACATTGACGAGGAAGGGGACGACATGGTCGGGTACAAGACAATTCATCAATATAAACCTCATGGGGGAGGTCTTGTATATAGAAGGTAATCTTGGCAATATTGACGTGGGACATGCGCTGGCCTCTGGGAGAAATTGTTTAACACTGTACTGCTACTACATCATATTCAGCAAGGTAGGAAAGCAGGTAATTTTCAGTCTGACCAGTCCTTGTTGTAGATAAGACAAGCATTTGGGGGAATAGAAACAGTTCCTGAACAAGTATTAAGAGAGGGGTGAGGTTCGGCAGGAATGGATTTGCCAGAAAGGTCAGTTAGGTAGATCGTGCACGAGCTTGGGATTCAGATGTAACTCTGACAAGGTGTGGACGATCAGAGCGACTGCGAAAGGTAACATTGCCTACTTGTTTCTGGAGGCATTACTGAAAGAGAAGGGTATTCTCAGAATAGGGGGCTGTGGCTGGGAATCAAAGAATCGATCCCACTTGGCTGGGCCAAAGAGTACTCAGGTTTGCCGAGGTAGAGGCAACAGGACAAGGGCGAGATGAAGATGGGGAGGTGTGGAGTGGAGTAGTTCTGCGGGGGAGGGCAAAAGTGATGAAGATTAATAATAAGGGAAGAGGGGGTAGACATTGAAGAGGACTGTGCAGCAGAAGATGAAGAGAAGGGAAATGGGAAGGGGTGCTTTTTAGAGGTTGAGTTATAACCTGTCTGGGTGTTTTGGAATGGCTAGAGTTGTTCGTAAGTGTCGAAGAAGGGGTATTAGTATCAGTGGTCGGAAAACCATCAAAATCAAATTCAGATAGGCTATGATGAGCCTGAATAAAATTTGGAAAGGA